AGTGCTTTCTTCTGAGGACGCCCGTCAGTTGTGTCTCAACACATCTTGTGGATCTTTTGCAGGGGGCAGAACAGGGGAGCTCTCAGACTTCCTCAATTTTTACTTTTTTGGGCATTGACCTCTGAATTATTTATGTGTGTCTATTTTCAAATGTATAGATTTTAAAAGTTATCTTTTAAAAAATTAATCTCTATCTCAGTTACATTGTGATTAGAGAATGTGTTCTGTTAGGCACTGACTCTTTGCAATTTATTGAGACTTGCTTTACGGCTTACTGCGTGGGCAATTTTTATTCAAAAAGCCTTTTCCTCAGTTTTGTTGTTACAATGTTCTATCTTATTGTCCTCCCCAAATCTTCTATAAAAGCTGATTGCTTTTCTGTGTGTCTAATCTGTCAGTTACTGAGAAAAGGACATTAGTGTCTCCCACTATGATGGCAAGTTTGTCAGTTTCTCTGGGACGGCCAATTTTTGCTGTTTATATTTTTTGCTTTATCTGGTCAGCAAAGGTTAGTCAGGCCTAAAAAATGGAGTGGAGGTCAAGAAAATGATGGTGTCAGCATTTCAGATTCTCCTGGGCTGTTTTAAATGGAAAAAATGGGTAAACCTCAGCTGAGCTAGTTCTTTTTAAAGTAAGTAATGGGTGAACAGGTAAGGAAAACCTCATTTGTCTGTAATAAATTGTTCTATATAAATATATGGATTTTCCACACGACTGAAGTTCAGGCCAATTAAATGTCTAACCGTTAAAAATAATTAACTGTTTCCTCTCCCTATCCTTTATTTTGAAAAATTTCAAACCTATATAAATTTGAAAAAATAGTATAATGAAAGCACATAAAACATTTACAACCTTCTTCCAAGTTCACCAATAGAAATGTTTGACATGTCTGCCTCTCCTTCACCCTACATATTTTTTTTAGTTGAACCAATGGAAAATACATTTCAGACATCGTAACACTTCACCTGTATATGTTTTAGCATGTGTCTCCTAAAAACAAAGATATTTTCTTAAAGAACCACACCATTATGACATCGAAAAATTTAATATTGATTCAACAGCATTACCTAACATATATATATATAAAATCATATTCAAATTTTTCAAGTGTCCTTTGTAGTTGGTTTTCATTTTTAAAAGTTATTAGATTTCCCATTGCATTTGGCTACTGTATTTCTTTAGCCCCTTTTCATTTTGAACAGCTGCCTCCTCCTACCCTTGTCTTGGTCTTTCAAGACTTTGACGTTTTCAGAGTCCAGGCCCCTTGTGCTGTAGAAGGTTCCGTTAGCTGGGTTTGTCAGATTGTTTCCCCATGATTAGATGGAGGTTATTTTTAGCCAGAGTTCTACAGAGGTGATACTTCCCCTGCTTCACATCAGGAAGCACGTGAAATCTTCCCCTCCTACCAGTTATTGGTGATGCTAATTCTTTGATTAGGTTTATTAAAGTATAATATACATATAGTACCATTCACCTTTTAGTGTAAATGTATACATTAGTTTTGCATAAATTGTATAAAAGGTATACAGTTATGTAACCACCACTTCAATCTGGATACAGAGTTTCCATCATCCCCCAGAGTTCCCGCATGTCCCTTGGACTCCCTCTCTTTCTCCAGCCCCAAGTCCTAGCAGTCATAGATCTGATTTCTGTCACTGTAGTTTTGCCTTTTTATGAATGTAAAATAAATGGAATCATACAGTTTACAGGCTTTTGTGTTTGGCTTCTATCACTTAGCATAATGCTTTTGGGTTTTATCCATGTTGTTGCATGTATCAAACAGTTTCTTTTTATTGTTGGTTAGCATTTCTTTGTATGGATATAGCAATCACTTTTTATTCCTTAATCAGTTGATGGATATTTGGGCTATTTCTAGCTTTTAGCTATTATGAATAAAGCTGCTGTGAACATTTGTGTGGACTTCTTTATATTTCTCTTGAGTAAATATCCAGGAATGGAACTGCTGTGTTGTCTGGATGAGGGTATGCTTAGCTTTGTAAGGATCTGCCCAACTCTTTCCAAAGTGACTGTACCATTTTCACTCCCACCAGTAATGTATGAGAATTTTAGTTCCGTCACATCCTGGGCAGTACTTGGTGTTGTCAGTCTTTTAACTTTAGCTATTTTAGTAGCTGTGTAGTAGGATCTCATGGTAGGGTGATGCCAACTTCAATTATGTGGTGAGGCGGTGTCCGTAACGCCTCTCCATTGTAACCATTCCTTTCCCCCTTTGTCTTTAGTCAGTAATTTGTAGGTGATACTTAGAGATCATGCACATGTCTTTTTTTCACTTAATGGTTTTGGCGTTTATTGATGAAATTTTCCTGAATCACTTAATGCTTACTAATTATTACACTGGTGATACATTGGCAAAATAGTGATTTCAGGAAATTTCATTATTTTTCTACATTCATTAATGGATATTATTTTGTAAAAGAGAGTTTCTCCCCCCCACCCTTTTCCTCTCCCTCTCTATCTCTCTGGTTTCAGCATGTACACAAATAGATGCTTTTTTATATAGTCCATTATAATCCATTACAGTCACTATTAATTTTGATGCTCACATTGTCCTGGATTTGACCATGGGAGCCTCTCCAAGCTGGCTCCTGTGTCCCTTTGATATGTCACTGGCAGTCTTTGAGCATGATTGTGATTTTGGGAACAAAAAACATTTCTAGGCTCATCTTACACGTCCCTGGAATCAGTTGTTTTTCTAAGGAGCCCCGGTTCCTTTTAGTGAGGAGTGCTGTTTAAGAAACAAAATCTGGCATTGTAGCTACCAGAGTGTTATTGTTTCTAAGCCCCTGGAGTGGGCAGACCTGGAATATATACTGTATTTTAAAAAACAATATTGAGTTTATATTGACACCTCCAATTAAATCCATTACCACAGTCTTCTTCTCAGTTTCACATTTCAAATTTTCCCACAGAGAGAACTTTGCTTCCAAAGATATCAATATATTTACTTATTTGTTCTGCCCTACAAATATTCACAAAATAGTTTCAGAATTTCTAAAACTGGTTGCTTTACCAACAACAAACCTACTGAGTAAATTCAAGGTTTTTTGTAGTTCTTTTTGTCCTCAGGATCTTTTTAACCCAGTCAGATTACATTGTTTTCAATAACTACTTGAATTATTTTTCTCTGGTGTTGTGTTAGCAATTTGATATGCAGTTGAATTAATTTGTGTCTATTTAATTTTAAAGCTTGATTTGTCCTTTTAAATTTAATTTGATTTTTGAATGTGGAAGATATTTCTTGGCTTAATAATGTAGGCCATATCTTATTTTCAACAAGACAGCTGATAACTTTCTCCCAATAATTTTATAGAAAGTTATCATCTGATAGGACCATCCCAGCCGAACAATGTTGACTTGTGGGTCAATCCAATTTTGGAGGATCATTTCTCATGACAACCACAGGGCTGTGATACTGTGAAAATGATTATCAGTGTCCTTCCATGATACAGTGAGCTCCTATGGAACAAAGACAATGTCTCTGAATCCCCAGAATGACCAACAAATCTTAACAAATGACCAAAACATTAAAGTTGTTCAATAAATCTTTATTGAATGAACAGAAGGATGAACCAACAGGTGGGTGGAAGGGAAGAGTATCTGAACAAGCAAAATGATGAGCTAACATCAGCTAAAATAAATTTATTGAGACTGAATGAAGTGTGATATTTCTATTATAAAAAAAAAAGCACATTTATCAAGGTATAGGATGTGAGAATCTTGGCTTAACAACAATATTTTTTGTTGTCTTTTTTGACCTGAGAGATTTCACTGACTCAGGATATTACTACTCAAAAAACTCAACCCCAATACATTTTTAGATCTCATTAACATAAATATTTTTTGTATTGTATAGTATCCAGATCATCCATCGCTCTGGTCAGATGAGCCCTGAAGTGCTGTATCCAATTCCAAACTGCATACTCATGAAGCAGGAGATTGATACAAAGGAAGGATTTTTAGGAAGGTGACCGTGAGCCTGAGGGGTCTGAAAACCACCTCATGTTACCAGATGGTGGGAGGTCTGGGGGAAGCTTTCCTTGGAAGAGATTTGGAGGTGAAATAGTAACTCTTCAGATTTGTGAGAGACTGTCATGGAGAAAAAACATCAGGCCCTCTGTGGAGCTTCAAACAGCAGAACTAAGACCAATTAGTGGAAAGTGCAGAGGCTAACTTCAGCCCAGTAGAAGAAAATATTTGCTTATAGAGTCAAACAGAAAGGGAATGAGTTACCTCAGACTGCTGAGCTCCAAGGACGCTGAGACCTGAGGCCACGTCAAACACTGGCTGTGCCCATCTTTCAGGCATGTTTGAAGGGGATGCCCTGCTTTGGGTTATTCCAAATGTACTCGAAGGAAGCATCCAACTGAAAGATTCCGCACCCTAATCCTTTAGTGGTTAGTGTTATCATTAACAACCACTGTTGTTCTCTAATAATTAGATTTCTGTAAGGTTGGAAGAATTCTTCCACATACTGAAAGGTGTGGTTTCTGTGTCATTCACCACGTGGCTCTAAACTGTTTATCAAATTTAGGTCACAAAATGCCAATCCTTGAGAAATTTCATATAAAAATGATTGAGCAACTTTTTAAAAAAGTTTTTATTTATTTATTTTATTGAAGTATAGTCAGTTTTCAATGCTGGGTCAATTTCTGGTGTGCAGTACAATGCTTCAGTCATACATGAACATACATATATTCATTTTCACATTCCCTTTCACTGTAAGCTATTACAAGATATTGAATATAGTTCCCTGTGCTATACACTATAAACTTGTTTATCTGTTTTGTATATACCAGTCAGTATCTGCAAATTTCGAACTTCCAATTTATCCCTCCCCACCCCACCCCTGGGTAGCCATAAGTTTGTCTTCTATGTCTGTGAGTCTGATTTTGAGCAACTTTAAATACTGCATGATATACTCCTCTGACCGATTCACAATCAGGACATATTAGGGGGTGGGAGTATAAATTTCTTTTAACTTTAACTCAGCATTTCCTAAACTTAATTGCCAATGTAACTGTACTTTTTTAAAGAAACACAATAAATATCTCTTCTTCCAAATTTCCTTAATAATGAAGCCTGCTTTCCTGTTTTTATTTGTTTGTTTGTTTCTGTCTCCTTCCTCCAGGGCATCCCCATTTAATGCTGCTTCTGCAAGACGGCAGCCTCAAACACAACTTTCTAAATCGACCACAAGGTGGCTCTGCTTGTCTTACAAAAGAAGGCTGTGGGCTCTTTCCTAACGTCTGGCTTGCAGGGCCTTTAAAGAGGAGGGCTTGAGTCTTGTGCCAGACAGGGTAGCCAGGTGTAGGGAAGGCTGGGGTGTTACCTGTGTACACGGGTTAAGTTAGAACTGTTGTCGTCTGACCCAGATGGTGGAGTTTTCAAAAGAATGTTGTAAGAAGTGGGGTTTTCTGGCTGTCCCTTCCATGTTTCCATTTTGAGGATACGTTTCCGTGGAGTTCAGGAAACTGGACACCTTTCTTCCAGGTGAGTGGTGAGCGAAGCACCTGAAATTTGGGGAGAGACTTTTCCTGCAAAACCACTGCGTTCAACTAAGCATCCTTTCTTTTCCTTTTAGGTCTTTGAGAACAAAAAGATGTTGAAGCAGGAAGCCAGAGCTGTTGGCACTGAGCTCTTTAGTGTCCTAATCTCCAGCTTGGCCCTCAGTGCTGATGAATTCATTCTAATTAGCAGCAGCAGGAGCAATTCAGTAGTGCTCCTAGCCTGACTGCACCGTTTCCGAAGAATTGCTTTTTGCAGGCGTATGCACTTTTAATGAACGGGGAAAAATAATCGTTGTCCTCAAGGCCAAGAAAGGGATATTTCTCACTGCACTGAAAGAGCTTATAAGGTAAGCTGTGCTGTGGGTGGGCAAGAAGGGTTAATGATTTCCAAGGGCTCTCAGTATCCTTGTGGTTGCCAAATTTAAGATCTGTGTTCATAGATGGTACCTTCAGATGTCTTCAGAAAAAAATCAATCTCTTTACATCAGCTTTTTCTGTTACCCACTCTGTTCTTTTTAAGTCCTCTCTCAACTTCAGGTTTTCACTCACCCATTCACTCATTCATTCACTCGGAAGATTTAGCACCTACTCTTTGTAAAGCACATATGCTGAGTGCTACAGGGGATTTGAAGATGAATTCCCTTGACATGGAGGTTGGAGAGGGATGAGGTAGACAGATACATAAAACACAGTGAATTCTGTGCCTAAGGTTCAACAGGACAGGGAACATACGCTGAATGTGGAACTCTCAGCTATGGATTCTAAACTGGAGCCCTGCACTCTGATGTGGAAGAGATCTCTTCAAAATCCTCTCTCCTAGGGGGTTATTGGGGAGAGGATTTTAAATAGAGAAGCTTATCTAGCTTATCTTTGCTTAGTCACCATTTGTCATCTTAAATTGTCTACAAGTTCTCAAACAATGAGAGAGGAAAGGAGGATCAGTGGTTGTGACACTGTTTATCCCCAGGGTTCCAAGAAGGATGTTACCAACAAGAAGGCATTAATAACTAGAAGAGGAATTAGGAAATGTCAGTGACAGAAGTGTAGGCTGCTATATAAGTTGACCAAAGATAATTTTCTTGATATTTCTGCCCAGCAGGGTATGATATTTGATATAGAAATGTTTAGTCTTTTTCCAAATTGCATTTTTCATTCCAATTTTATTAGTAACACTTCTTGAACATATAAGAATAGTACAATGAATGTGCATTTCTGTAATACCAAGACCCAACAGTTGCTAGTATTTTGCTATATTTGCTTTATCTTTCTATATGTGCTCCCAAAATGTCTTTTAAAGACATTTCCCATCAAATTAGGATCCAGTGAAATCTCATGCATTGTGTTTGGTTGTTTTGTCTCCTTAGTCTCTTAATCAAGGAGAGAGTCTGCCTCCTTTAAAAAAAAATGGCACAGCACTGACTTCTTGAAGAAACTGTGACAGTTGTTTTACAGATTATGAGATGTTTCACATTCTAGATTCATCTGATTGTATCCTGTTGATGTTTTAAAATCTGCTTTGCTATCCTCCTGTATTTCCCAGAAACTGTAACAGTAGATTGAAAGATGGCCCTGTACACAGTCTCTCTGGCTTAGATTTTCCAGAGAGCGCATCTTAGTCCTTTAGTCTTCTGCCGGATTAGCAGAGGGAATCTGGGATTTTGTCTGTACCTTAAAGACTTTCAGCCAGTAATGAAAAAGGTAGATAACAACGAATGTTGCTGAGGATATAGAGAAATGGGAACCCTTACATATTTCCGACTGAATACATCTTACAATCTCATCCTAGTGAGGTTCCCCTTCCATCATCATAATAATCCAGACACTGTGATAAGCCAGAGGCATTCCTGAGAGGGAAGTGGTCATGTGGTCTTCACCCGTAGTTCAGACATAGGTGTTCTTTCAGGTCTCGTTTGATGATGTTTTCTTCTTGTGGGTGCATATGATCTATCACTCATACCTGCCTATGAGCATCAGAAATGCCTGTGAGCGGACCTGGTAGCTCCTGACATCTTGACTTCCAGGGTAATTCCTCTTTCCCAAGAGCCTTGCATCAATTAATAAGATAAAAATTGGAATTTCAAAGCCTTTAACTCAGATGAGGTGAAAGGGACAGCCCAGCTCTAACTCTTGAACTATGCTTTTAACTACAGGGGAGGCTGTATGAATATTTCAGTCAAGATTTGTTTAAAAGAATATGGATTATCATCAGACGCTTTATACACACATGTTAGAATGTTGTGAAACAGAGACTAAAGGAGGCTAAACACTGATTAAGGCAGGTTTTAGTCTCTATTTCTGCCCCTTTAAATTGAGAGTTTTGTATCTTTTACCGAAATCTAAGTTTCCTTCCCATGTCTGTCATCTAGTCATGTGACCCGGGTCAGCCATATAACCAGGGATGACATTCAGAAATGTCCCAGCTGACCTGAGGCAGGCTCTGGCCCAACAGCGGATGGTCCTCACACTTCCTGCATGCTGAACATTCATCTTTACCCGGTGGATTGTAGTCCAGGAGGTCCTAGGGGAGGGTCTAGGACACCTGGAGCCAGAGGAGCACTTAGGAGTCTTGGGGCAATAGCTACTTACTACTTGGTTTACAGTTATTTCAGTATTAAATCAACTGATATGACTGCACTAGTGCATAATGGCTGCATATAAGCTTTCTGAGGTTATGTCCCTCCTCTGTAAAATGGAGATAAAATCCACTCTGCCTGCTTTATAGAGTTGTTGAACCATGTCTGTAAATAATCTATGAGCACCGTAGAGCCCTGTATAACAGAAATATGAGATTAGAGTTCTGGTTATAATTGTTTCCTTTATTGCACTAGCTTTCTGTTTCTGGAATTATTGAGTGCCCTTTCTCCCAACTATTAGTTAAAAAATGTGTGTGTGTATATATATATATATATATATAT